AACTGTGTATTAATTGCAGAATTAAACCAGTCATATTAAGTAGAACAGACAAAAAATACTAAGAGGGATAATGTATTAAGTTGTTCATTAACAGTCAGGGCTATGCTGATTAAGTCACCGTTTCTCATAGTGTCCATTTCACAACAGGTTTCCTTTTTGGTGTTCAGTCAGTTGTCACCGATCAGGGAGAACATATGATATTTGTCCCTTTGGGACTGGCTTATTTCACTCAGCATGATGTGTTCCAGATTCCTCCATTTTGTTGCAAATGACTGGATTTCATTGTTTTTTTTTTTTGTTTTTTGGTTTTTTTTTTTTTCTGCAGAATAGTATTCTAAAGAGTACATATCCCCTAATTTCTTTATCCAGTCTATCGTTGATGGGCATTTAGGTTGGTTCCAGGTCTTGGCTATTGTGAATGGTGCTGCAATAAACATGAGGGTGCAGACTGCTTTTTTGTTTGTCAATTTAAATTCCTTTGGGTAAATTCCAAATAGTGGGATGGCTGGGTAGAACGGTAGGGTAATCTTCAGGTTTTTGAGGAATCTCCAGACTGACTTCCATAGTGACTTGACCAGTTTGCATTCCCACCAACAGTGGGTTAGTGTCCCTTTTTCCCCACATCCTCGCCAGCATCTGTTGTTGGTAGATTTCTGTATGTGAGCCATTCTCACCGGGGTGAGGTGAAACCTCATTGTGGTTTTGATTTGCATTTCCCTGATTGCTAGTGACCTTGAACATTTTTTCATGTGCCTGTTGGCCATTTGGATTTCCTCTTTTGAAAAATGTCTATTGAAGTCCTTGGCCCATCTCTTAAGTGGGTTGTTTGTTTTGATGTTGTGGAGTTTCTTGATCTCTTTTTAGATTCTGATTATCAACCCTTTATCTCTTGCATAGTTTGCAAATAGTTTTTCCCATTCTGTCAGTTGTCTCTTCACTCTCCTGACTGTTTCTTTTGCAGTACAGAAACTTCTCAATTTGATGCAATCCCAATAGTTGATTTTGGCCTTGACTGCCTGTGCCTCCCGGGTCTTTTCCAGAAACTCTTTGCCTGTGCCAATATCTTGAAGGGTTTCTCCAATGTTCTCTAATAATTTGATGGTGTCAGGCTGTAGATTTAGGTCTTAATCCATGTTGAGTGGCTTTTTGTGTAAGGTGTAAGGTAGGGGTCTTGCTTCATGCTTCTGCACATGGAAATCCAATTTTTCCAGCACCATTTATTGAAAAGACTGTCCTTGCTCCAGGAATTAGTTTTAGATGCTTGATCAAATATGAGTTGGCTGTAGGTGTTTGGGATGATTTCTGGTGTTTCAATTCTGTTCCATTGGTCTATCCATCTGTTTCTGTACAAGTACCATTCTGTTTTGATGACAACTGCCCTGTAGTATGTCCTGAAATCTGGTATTATGATGCCTCCAGCTTCCTTTTAGTTGTACAAGATTGCTTTAGGTATTCTAGGTCTCATGTGTCTCCATATGAATTTCAGCATCATTTTTTCTAGATCTGAGAAGAATGTCTTTAGTATCTTGATTGGGATTGCATTGAATCTATAGATAGAAACATCATTCTTTCCTGTGTGAAACTGGAATAAGAACTCTAAGCAATGGCCAAACAGAAAGTGGTTAAACGATAGGGGACACAATTATAGAATCATTCCTGTGTAACCATGAAAACTACCTTCATATGTGATAAAGATACCGTTTCAAAATAGTTAGGCTGTAATTATTTAATAAGAGGTTTATGAACAATACAGTGTCCAAAGAGAAGACTGCTCAAGGACAAGTTGACTCTTCTATTTGGGAAAGAAATTCTACTTAAAATATTTTTCACTTTTATTTAATGAATATAAATTTCCAAAGTACAGCTTATGGATTACAATGGCTTCCCCCCCATAACTCCCCTCCCACCCACAACCCTTCCCTTTCCCGCTCCCTCTCCTCTTCCATTCATATCAAGATTTATTTTCAATTCTCTTTATATACAGAAGATCAGTTTAGCATACATTACGTAAAGATTTCAACAGTTTGTACCCACATAGAAACATAAAGTGAAAAATACTGTTTGAGTACTAGTTATAGCATTGAATTGCAATTACAGCACATTAAGGACAGAGATCCTACATGAGGAGTAAGTGCACAATGACTCCTGTTGTTGACTTAACAAATTGACACTCTTGTTTATGGCCTCAGTAATCACCCTAGGCTCTTGTCATGAGCTGCCAAGGCTATGGAAGCCTTTTGAGTCACCGACTTTTATCATATTTAGACAAGGTCATAGTCAAAGTGGAAGTTCTCTCCTCCCTTCAGAGAAAGGTACCTCCTTCTTTGATGACCTGTCCTTTTTTTTTTTTTTGACAGAGTGGACAGGGAGAGAGAGAGACAGAAAGAAAGGTCTTCCTTTGCCGTTGGTTCACCCTCCAATGGCCGCCGCGGCTGGCGTGCTGTGGCCGGTGCACCGTGCTAATCCGAAGGCAGGAGCCAGGTGCTTCTTCTGGTCTCCCAAGGGGTGCAGGGCCCAAGCACTTGGGCCATCCTCCACTGCACTCCCGGGCCACAGCAGAGAGCTGGCCGGAAGAGGGGCAACGGGGACAGAATCTGGCATCCCAGCTGGGACTAGCACCTGGATGCTGGTGCTGCTAGGTTGAGGATTAGCCTGTTGAGCCTCATCACTGGCCAACCTGTTCTTTACACTGGGATCTCACTCGCGGAGTTCTTTCATTTAGGTCATTTTTTTTTTTTTTTTTTGCCATGGTGTCTTGGCTTTACATGCCTGAAATACTCTCATGGGCTTTTCAGCAGGATCCACATGCCGTAAGGGCTGATTCTGAGGCCAGAGAGCTGTTTCTACTTCTGCCATTCTATGAGTCTGCTGTGTATCTCGCTTCCCATGTTGGATCGTCCTCTCCCTTTTTTATTCTATCACTTAGTATTTGCAGACACTAGTCTTGTTTATGTGATCCCTTTGGCTCTTAGTCCTATCATTATGGTCAATTGTGAACAGAAATTCATCTCTGGGTCTAGTGAGGTGGTGTTGGTACATGCCACCTTGATGGGATTGAATTGGAATCCCCTGGTATGTTTCTAACTCTGCCGGTTGGGGCAAGTCAGCTTGAGCATGTCCCAAATTGCACATCTCTTCCCTCTCTTATTCCTGCTCTTATATTTAACAGTGATCACTTTTCAGTTAAGTTTAAACACTTAAGAATAACTGTGTATTGATTACATTATTCAACCAAAAGTATTAAGTAGAACAAACCAAAAATATACTAAGAGGGATAACGTATTACGTTGTTCATTAACAGTCAGGGCAAAGACTGATCAAGTCACCGTTTCTCATAGTGTTCATTTCACTTTAACAGGTTTCCTTTTTCGTGCTCAGTTAGTTGTCACTGATCAGGGAGAACATATGGTATTTGTCCCTTTGGGACTGGCTTATTTCACTCAGCATAATGTTTTACAAATTCCTAACAGGGATCACTTTTCAGTTAAAATTTAAACACCGAAGAATAATTGTGTGTTAATTACAGAGTTCACCAATAGTACTTGAACCAAAAAATACTAAAATGGATAATGTATTACATTGTACATCAACAGTCGGGAATATGGCTGATCAAGTCACCATTTCTCATAGAGTCCATTTCACTTCAACATGTTTCCTGTTTGGTGCTCAGTTAGTTGTCACCGATCAGGGAGAACATATGATATTTGTCCCTCTGCTTCTGGCTTAATTCACTGAGCATAATGTTTTCCATATTCCTCCATTTTGTTGCAAATGACCGGATTTCATTGTTTTTGACTGCTGTGTAGTATTCTATGGAGTATGTGTCCCATTATTTCTTTATCCATTTTACTGTTGATGGGCATTTATGCTGATTCCAGGTCTTAACTATTGTGAATTGAGCTGCAATAAACATTAAGGTGCAGACGGCTTTTTTGTTTGCCAATTTGATTTCCTTTGGTTAAATTTCAAGGTGTGGAAAGGCTGGGTTGTATGCTAGGGTTTTATTCATGTTTCTGAAGAATCCCCTGTCTGACTTGCATAGTGGCTTGACCAGTTTGCATTCCCACCAACAGTGGGTTAGTGTTCCTTTTTCCCCACATCCTCGCCTGCATGTATTGTTTGTAGATTTCTGTATGTGATCCATTCTAACTGGAGTGTTGTGAAATCTCATTGTGGTTTTGTTTTGCTTTTCCCTGTTTGCTAGTGATCTTGAACATTTTTTCATGTGCCTGTTGGCCATTTTGATTTTCTCTTTTGAAAAATGTCTATTGAGGTCCTTGGCCCATCTCTCAAGTGACCTGTAGTAGCACCTTGACAGTAGGGACTCCATTTTGTAGTACTTGAGACTCCATTCTGGGAAAGCACCCCCCCCACTGTGAGACTCTGGTCTGAAACTATGATCTCAAATATTCGGACAATAGCAGTACACTACGTCACCCTTGGCAGAGCACAAAAACCCCCTAGCATGATTGCTCAAGCTTGAAAGTAGAAAGGTTGCACCTGGGTTAATGATAAATATGTGATTTGTCTATGCCTTACCTATAATTTGGATTAATGTCAAGATCATAATTGATAATTGTACGATTGTAACTGGTATTGTCAAGATTATAATGGATATTAATTTCACTTAGGACTTTTTTTATGTTGACCCCAGTAACTATGTACTCTCTTTTGATTTTAACAACCGTGTATCCCCCCTCCTGATTCTGTGGTTTTTGCCTTTATAAACCCTGTGCTTTAGTTCCTCGGGGCTCCTCTGTTCTTGCACGTTCAGAGAGCCCCAGCATGCTGGATCAATAAACCCTTAACCCTTTGCTGATTGCATGAGAGAGTCTCTTGGAGTCATTCTTGGGGGTGGCGGGCATTTTTTTAAACTCTAACAGACCCTCTGTTAACAAGAGCCAACAGGAAATACAGGATCCCTTCCCTCCCGGCCTGCCTTGGCCGAAGCCACCGCCCTGCGGGGCTGGATGCTGGAAGAGTCCTGAGTGTGTGTGGACTCAGGACAGGGCAGCCTCCGTCTGTGGTTGCTGGGCTTGTGAACACTGCAGGATCTTTTGGCTTTCCACGTCTCTAAAATGCTTTTCAACTATTTTGCGTACATGGCTCAGTGCAGTCCCCTCTTTGCCTTTGCAGTTTTCCACTTGATATGGGGGTGTAATAACAACTTCTTCCATAACTACAATGTTTTTTTCTTGCCATTTACAGTCTTTAACGGTCTTGTGGATGGTCTGGAAGAGCTGCTGGCCCTCTAGGGAGACACCAGCACTGATTGCATAGGCCTGGCTCAGCTTCTCTTCCTTCTCCATCCGCGCTTTGCTGGCAAGCTTACTGACATTGAGTGAAGCTAAAGGAGGAGGGGTTTCTGTGCAGTCGTTCATAATTTCCACTTCTGAAACATACTGTAAGTTTATGAGCAAGATGTCTGTGTGGTTGGGCTTTCCGCTGGAAGAGGGACATTTTAAAGCCAGCATTTTGGACTGGTAGTCGAAGGCTACCACCTCGCCCTGCAACCGCTGCTCCTGGCACATCTGGCACAAAACCTGGCTCCCATTGCTGAAGTACTCGCCCCAAGGAGCCGCCATCTTGGGAGAGCAGCCGCAGCCAGCCTGAAGTAAGCATTCTAAACATTAAGGAAATGTATTTCCCCTGTTGAATCATACAAACTTTGGATTTGTTTAAAATCTATTAAGAAAACGTGCTTATCTAAATAATTTTTAGATGTCAATTTATAGAAAGAGGGACATAATACTCAGGTAAGTTTAATTGGAGAGAAAGAATACCCTTGGACCTGGGATGCAGTCAGGTCCTCACACATCCTGGGGAAGAAAAGTCAGAATCATGCACAAGGACGATTCAAATCCTGGCATCAGGAGAGACAATTCACAGATGCCCATCTCCACACATCCTTTATAATCTATTTCCCAGTCACAGGTACAGAGCATCAGGGCAGGGTGCTTTCCTGATTTCCTGGGATGGAGAGGGATAAAGCAATAAAATGACCAGAGGTCTGACCTTTCCTGACAACAGAGACACAAAGGCGAGTTCTTGGCAAAGTGACTGACTTAGAAATGTCTCAATTTGGCTACTAGCTGTGTCTTTGAATCACTAGACTGTCACACACATTAAATAGGCTGAGGACACAGCTATCCTGGGACTTGGTTGTGCCCTACACAGAGACCAGTTCTCCCTGCAGAGGGCTGACCCTGCAGACAGTATCTACCCCATGTTCTCCCTATTTCAGCTGACACTCTGGTCTCTGACTCAACACTGGAGATATCTTGACATGTCATCATATCTGATTTTTCTCTACCTACAGCTGTACCACTTGCACACTTCAGTAGATCTGAAGGTCAGCAGCTGCCAAAATTCTCTGAAGATAAATGTCTACAAAGATGGCCTGCAGAAAGAGGCACAACTCGACACTTATATTCAAGCCAGAAAATACAGTGTCAGCATTTTGGCAAGTTGAAGATCGTGTGTATGTGTTAGGTATCATTGTGACTGCATGTGAGTATATTTTTGTGCCTGTGTGTTCTGTCCCTATTGGTAGTTCTGAAAAATGTATTGGAGGAAGGCAGGCCAATGAAATCAGAGGTCCTCACCCTTGTTGTGCTTCCATAGAATTTCCCATTTGCTCTCCAGCCTTTTAGAAGCAGAGGGCAGGTATCAAGATTTTTGTGTCCACCCCATGAGCACATCCCTTTGATCCAACTCTTGGGGTCTTGGCATTGGTGAGACTGTTGGGACCCAGAACCACTACTGCCACTGTCCAGATCTGCCAGGAGAGGTGACTATCTATTCTGATATATGCACTACCTCATTAAATGTTGTTGCCTTTCTCATCATTGTTCCATCTAATGCCTGACAATCTAGAACCTCTATTTCACTTTGTTACCCTTTGGAATGAGCTTCTTTCACTGCCCAATATTTCCCTGTTTACCAAGGTTGTAGCTTGTATCATTGTGTTGATGTTTTCCTCATAACACTTAGGCCTACTTTTTGTATTAGTATATTTCTGTTTGCTCTTATTAAGGCATGAATTTAATGAGTGTATATTCTTCAGTCTTTAGGTTTTCTACTAACTTTATGCAAGGTATAGAATAGCTGACAACTTCCCATTTGGGGAAAGCAGATTAAGTTATTCAATATTCAGCTGATAGCAAGAGCTAAAAGTAACTCTGGGGTGAAGAAATATATCCTCCATAATAAAAAAGTGTATCACTAAGGTAAAATGATTAAAGAAAAATTTAATTCATCACTCCTATCATTAAAATAAATATGACACATTGGAAGACTCCATAGCATAATTATTTTTTTTTGACAGGCAGAGTTAGACAGTGAGAGAGAGAGAGACAGAGAGAAAGGTCTTCCTTTTTCCATTGGTTCACCCCCCAAGCGGCCACAATGGTCAGCACGTTGTGGCCAGTGTGCTGCACCAATCCAAAGCCAGGAGCCAGGTGCTTCACCCTGGTCTCCCACGTGGTTGCAGGGCCCAAGGACATGGTCCATCCTCTACTGCACTCCTGGGCCACAGCAGAGAGCTGGACTGGAAGAGGAGCAACTGGGACAGAATCCGGCACCCCAACCGGGACTAGAACCTGGGGTGCTGGCACCGCAGGCAGAGGATTAGCCTAGTGAGCCATGGCACCAGCCCATAGCATAATTTTGGTACCACATTTATTTAGTGTCCAAAAAGTAATTGCTCCTTGTGAACAGAACACCAATTTTGGTTCAGGTGTGTATGGGAAAGCAATATTTGTTTAGAACACAGAAAAAATTTTAATAGATATGTAATGATACTATGTGCACATAATATGACAAAATAGGAAAGTATCTTTATGCTAAAAAGGAAACACTGTCATCTTGATACTGTAAAAATTTTCATATGATGGAGCAAAAGTGCTATGGCACTTTATTATTTAATTCAACACTGAAAACTAAGAATCAATGTACTCCAACTGAAAAATGATTGGATAAATATATTTCTTCCTGCATAGTGAACAAGTAACCGTTTACTTGACATTCAAATTATGGATGAAATGTAGGAAATTAGAAAAGTCCAGATTTCCAAGGAAAGGGGAGCAAAGAAATTCATAGAGAGAAAACAGAACATCTGTTCTCTTCTTCACAATAACATAAACACATTTTAAATTGCAAAAATTCATATTTTTGCCTAAGAAATATGGCAATCTATAGTGAAGGTTCCATTGTAAAATGTGAAAAGACATAGATAAATTCAGTACCCAGGAAATCAATAAATGAAGACGAAGTGAACATTGTGAATTATCTGACTGCTTGAAGCCCTGAGTTGGATGCATTAATTTCACTGAAAATGTAAATTTGGGGCTGGCACTGTGGCATAGCGGGTAAAGCCAATGCCTACAGTGCTGGCATCCCAAAAGATTGCTGGTTCAAGTCCCAGTTGCTCCACTTCTGATCCAGCTCTCTGCTATGGCCTGGCAAAGCAGTGGAAGAAGGTCCAAGTCCTTGGGCCTCTGCACCTGCATGGGAGATCTGGAAGAAGCTCCTGACTACTGGCTTCTGATAGGTGTAGCTCTGGCAGTTGTGGCTAATAGAGGAGTGGACCAGTGGATTGCAGACCTCTCTCTCTCTCTCTCTCTCTCTCTCTCTCTCTCTTTCTGTCCCTCATTCTCTGTGTAACTCTTTCAAATTAATAAATAGATCTTAAAAAAAGAAAATCTAACTTAAGAATCCTAGTTTGACAAGAGTTGATATACTCGAGTATAAAATCTTCAAAGAACCTACAAAAAAGAACATAATTAGCTAGTTTTAGAAAATATTTCCTTTTTTAAAAATTAATATAAAATAAATAAATGAATTATGAAATGGATATTTAAGAAATATTCATTAAAAAGCAAGCCATTAAGAAATGTCATGAAGAAGTCATATGATAGAAAATACTACTATACTGACTATACTTTTATAAGTTATATTAGTCTAAAATTTTAACACTCAACATATTTATATCTAAGTATTTCATATATTTGGATAATAGAAAGTTTTGTTTCTTCAGTATCTTCATTACACTCTAAAACTTTTCACTTGTAAGTCAATTATTTTGGGGTGTGTGTTTTTAATTGCTTTCAGTCTTAGATGCTTGTCTAAAACATGAATAAATAAAAACTAAAAGTTTTTACTAAAATAAACATATATATTCACTGCATTTTTCTCAGAACCATTGGAAATACCCTGTGCACTCAGAAGAGCTGAAGGTGCGTACCAAATATATATTTTTACAAGAATGCTCAGAACAATCTGTTCATAACATGAAAGTTTGCAGACAACCCAAATCATCATCTTTGAATGATTGAATACATTGAATGTGGAAAAGCCATAAGATTGAATCTTATACAGCTATAAAAATAATGAAGGGTACCTGCTATAATTGGGTGAATCAAAAATGTAATGCCATGTGAAAGAAGCTAGATCTAAGAGGTCTCATATTATCTCACTCCATTACCAGCAACTGTCCAGAGTAGGTAAACACATAGCAACTAAAGGAGATGAATGGTTGCATAAACAACATTCATGGAAACTTGCAAGTGCCTGCTTAATGCAGAAAGGCTTTGATTACAGGGTGATGCAAAAGGCTCAATCTACAGACATGATTATTGCTCAAACTTTTGAACATACTTTATAGGAAATCAATGTAGAATTTGAATGTGAAAGTACTGTAATACCACATCCTTGTCAAATACTACAGTGGTTCTTATTGGGTATGTGAATTTCACCTCAATAATAGCATCATTGTCTCCTGGAATAAGAACTCTAAGCAAAGGTCAAAATGATAGCAGTCAAATGGTAGATGAGACAGTTATAGAATCACTGCTATGTAATTGTGAAAAATACCTCCAGATGTGATAAAAATAAAAATGCCATTTCCATATAGCTAGAAAATAATTAGTTACTAAGATGTTTGTGAACAATACAGTGTTCAAAGAGAAGAATGTGCATGGACTAGTTGACTCTAGTATTTGGAAAGAAATTCCACTTCAATTATAACCACAAAATGACAAATTCTCCATGACATTTAGAGAAACAACAAAAAGCAGGTATAACTGAGACATGTTTTCAAATATGAACATAAAAAACTTAATACTTTATCCCTTTTAGTTTTTTTGTTCTACTTAATGCTATTGGTTGAACTCTTTAATTAACACAAAATTATTCTTAGGTGTTTAAATTTAACTGAAAAGTGATCCCTGTTAAATATAAGAGTGGGAATAAGAGAGGCAGGAGATTTACAAGCAGGGAGATGTACATTGGACATGCCAAGCTGACTTGCCCTAAATGGTAGAGTTAGATATGTGCCAGGGAATTCCAATTCAATCCCATCAAGGTGGCATGTACCAATGCCATCGCACTAGTCCAAGTGGTCAGTTTCCGTTTCCAATGGATCAAATTGAAAGGATTAAGAGTCAAAGGGATCACATAAACAAGACTAGTGTCTGCTAATACTAACTGATATCATCAAAAAGGGAGAGAACGATCCAACATGGGAACCAGGATACACAGCAGACTCATAGAATGGCAGATGTCCTAAACAGCACTCTGGCCTCAGAATCAGCCCTTAAGGCATTTGGTTCTGGCTGAAGAGACCATGAGAGTATTTTAGGCATGGAAAGCCAAGACACTCTGGCAAAAAAAAGACCTAAATGAAAGATCTCTGTGAATGAGATCTCAGTGGAAAGAAGGGGCCATGAAAGAAGGAGGTACCTTTCTCTGAATGGAGGAGAGAACTTCCACTTTGACTATGATCTTGTCTAAATAAGATTGAATTGGTGAACTCAAAAGGCTTCCATATCCTTGGCAGCTCATGACAAGTGCCTAGGGTGAATACTGACGCCATAAATAAGAGTGTGAATTGTTAAGACAACAACAAGTCACTGTGTACTGACTCCCCATGTAGGATCTCTGTCCTTAATGTGTTGTACAATGTGAATTAATGTTATAACTAGTACTCAAACAGTACTTTATACTTTGTGTTTCTGTGTGGGTGCAAACTGTTGCAATCTTTACTTATTATATACTAAACTGATCTTCTGTATATAAATATAATTGAAAATGAATCTTGATGTGAATGGAATGGGAGAGGGTGCTGGAGATTGGAGGGTTGCGGATGTGAGGGAAGTTATTGGGGGAAAAGCCACTGTAATCCAAAAGCTGTACTTTGGAAATTTCTATTAATTAAAGAAAAGTTAAAACAACAAATAAGAACATATATGGTATCTAAAGTAATAAACAAAGATGAAATTAATTACTCTGCATATGTTCAGGGATAGCCCTATCATATGAAATGTAATTGCTATTTATACGTTGATGCTCAGCTTTGTTTAGGTTTTAAACAGTGATTCATTTTAGTTTATATGAAAATATTTCTAGCCTGCTTTGCATTTTTGAGAGGCAGAGAGAGAAGCAGAGAGAAAGAGAGAGATGGTTGAGAGTCCAACCTTTCACTACTTCAAGTCTCATTTCCCATAGTGGTTTATCTTGGATTGAGTCCAGAAGCCAGGAGCCAGGAAAAAAAAAATTGACAGGGACACAAAGTGTTTAATATCCTAGCAATCTGATATCAGGGGTCAGAACCAAATTACAAACCTAGCTACTGTCATGTGGGGCAAGATTAATTAATTGCTAGGCCAAATACCTAAACAAAAATGTTTTTTAGTTTTGCTTATTTTCTAATGTTGGAAATTTACTACCAATTTGGTTTTTGTTTACAAAATTTGAAAATGTAGAGAAACTAGTGAGAAAAATATTTTAGGGTCTCCTACAACTACATTGATTCCTTAAAGCTTTCAAAGAATTTTTATCAGGTTTTATGAGAATAACGTAGCACTTGGGGGCAAAGATGCAGCCCAGGAGCCCTGCACTGGAGGCCAGGATGGAGAAGACTTCTACGGCCACCATGACCTTCCCCTTGGTGCTGTGGTAGACAGGCAGGAAGGTCACCCAGACACTGCAGAACACCAGCATGCTGAACGTCAGGAACTTGGCTTCATTGAACGTGTCAGGCAGGTTCCTGGCTAGGAAAGCCACAATGAAGCTGGCCAGGGCCAAGGAACCCAGGTAGCCCAGGACACAGTAGAAGGCAGTGACTGAGCCCTTGTTGCACACCAGGATGATGTAGTCATGCTCAGAATGTTTATCTACCTCAATAAAGGGAGGAGAGGTTCCCAACCAGATGCCACAGAGAACCAGTTGGATCATGGAGCAGATGGGAATGATGAAGTTAGAAGTGCCTGATACCAATAACCGCCTTATCGTTCTTCCAGGTTTCAGAGCTTTGAAGGCCAGAATCACAGTGATGGTCTTGGCCAGCACAGAGGAAACAGCTATTGTGAACACAAGGCCAAATGCTATTTGCTGGAGGAGGCAAGTGGCTGTGTTGGGACGGCCAAGGAAGAGTAAGGAGCAGAGGAAGCACAGGAGGAGGGCGATGAGCAGGATGTAGCTGAGGGTCCTGTTATTGGCCTTGACGATGGGAGTGTCTCGGTGCTTCACAAAGACCCAGAGGACTGCAGCTGTTAGGACAGAGAAACACAGAGCCATGCAGGCCAGGGCCATCCCCAGGAATTCCTCAAAGGCTAAGAATGTCACCAGCTTGGGGAGGCAGCGGTTTCTCTCCATGTTTGGGTACTCGTGATCTGCACATGGGATGCACTGCTCTGCATCTGTGGGGAAAAGGAAGACTCTGTGTTTCCATTTCACAATTTGCTCCTTTTTCCCTGTTAGGGAAAAAGTTCACCTTTGCAATTTCATGGTGAGTCCAGCCTGGGGTGATGTATACCAAGAAACACTAAAGTATTTCTGCTGCACCTAACCAAGGCAGAATGCTCGTCTGCAGGTGGAGGAAACTCATTCAAACTAGCTCATTAGCACATGGGGCTCTGTGTTCTCATCCTATCTGTCAGAGATTTTTTTCAGTGTTTAATTTCTAAACAATGAGGAATTTTCTATATTTCATATGGGCTTGGATTCTTCCCAGCCCTCCTCTCTACAGTCCTCAGAGTCGTTTCTGGAGAAATCCTTTATTCACGTGGGTTAGAATATTTATCTGGGATCATCAGGTTTAAGGATTTTCTTCCTTATCCTCAAATGGAAATGGCCTATATAAACGGTCTTTCATTCCTGGGACCTCCATTCCTAACTTCCTACATGGATTCATCTTGTCCATGTTTCCATATAAATGTTGTGATACTGAGGTTGAATAGATGGGAATTGTAGCTGATTGTCATTCTGTGGTTCTATGGAAATAAGTGGTATTTTCATCATGTTACTCAAAGACAACTAGGCATTCTTGTTAACTTGAAATTATGGCTTGTTCACCATTATAGCTCATGTGAACAGCATATTGGACACCACATTGTCTCACTTGAAATAATGCACTTCTATGGCTACAGCATGAAAAAAGTCATTAAGAACAGGTCAGTTGGAAAATATGTATCTCTTTCAATCAAATTTCAATTGTACAAACCAAAATAGGGTTGGTGTTGTGGCACGGTAGGTAAAGCCACCAACTGCAATGCCAGATCCCTTATGGACATTGTTTTGTGTTTAAGTTGATGAATTTCCAATCCAGCTCCCTGCTAATCACCTAGAAAGAGCAGCAGAAAATTCCACAAGCACTTGTGACCCCAACACCCATGTGGGAGACCCAAAAGGAAGCTCCTGGCTCCCAGTACCTGCTGGCCCATCCCAGGCCATTGTTCCATCTGAGGAGTGAACAATTAGATTCTCTCTCTCTCTCTCTCTCTCGCTCTCTCTCTCGTTCACTGATTCTCTGATTTTCAAATAAAATAAATCTTTTTTAAAAAGAAAGAAAATGGTGGGCCGGCGCTGTGGCTCACTAGGCTAACCCTCCACCTAACGGCGCTGGCACACCGGGTTCTAGTCCCGGTCGGGGCGCTGGATTCTGTCCTGGTTGCCCCTCTTCCAGGCCAGCTCTCTGCTGTGGCCCGGGAGTGCAGTGGAGGATGGCCCAGGTCCTTGGGCCCTGCACCTGCATGGGAGACCAGGAGAAGCACCTGGCTCCTACCTTTGGATCAGTGCGGTGTGCCGGCCACAGCGTGCCAGCTGCGGCGGCCATTGGAGGGTGAACCAATGGCAAAGGAAGACCTTTCTCTCTGTCTCTCTCTCACTGTCCACTCTGCCTGTAAAAAAAAGAAAGAAAGAAGAAAGAAAGAAAGAAAGAAAGAAAGAAAGAAAGAAAGAAAGAAAGAAAGAAAAAGAAAATGGTGTTAGTTGAGCTATACTTGCAGTAAGAGTCCTACTCTGTTTTTATCCTTGGTACTCATGCAAGAGTACAAGCTTCAGGGAGTGGAGTTGTGATGTAGTGGTTAAAGCCACTGCCTGCAATGATGGCATCTGAACAGGTGCCTGCTCATGTCTTGACTGCTGCACTTCCAAACGATCTCCATGCCAATGTGCCTAGGAAACCAGCAGAGCAAGGCCCAAATGCTTGGGCCTCTGCAAGACCTGGAAGAAGCTCCTGGTTTCTGACTTTGGCCTGGCCCAGTCTAGGCCATTGGAGCTATCTGGAGGGTGAATCTACCTGATGGAAGATCCTCACTGCATCCTCTCTCCCTCTCTATTATGCTCTCCCCCTCTCTTCAACTCTGACTTTCAAACAAATAAATAAATTATTTTGTAAAAAAATAGAATATAAATATTTGCAAAAATTTAAAGGAATTTTCTCCTACAATTCTTTTCAATGTGTTCCCTTTCCTTTTCATAGAATCTGTAGGTACATCTGGCACCTATCTTGGAGATACACCAGGAATATATAGGCAAGTGTATATTGTACAATGGGTCAGTGCATGATACTTTAGTTTTCTTTCTTTCACTAAATTACTGCATGTTGAATATTTTCACTGAAACTTGAAGTCATTTTTCTGTTTTCTTCATACTGGAAACTCTGTATAGAATGTTTGAAGATACTGAAATCAAAATATCTCTAGAGCTAAGATGATGTGAATTGAAACATTATTTTGGAAGAATTCAAATTATTATAAACATATTTATTATACATTGAACAGTGGAACTATTTACCAATGAGTCTTAGTACACTTTTACATTTCTCAAACATTTGGCTTTGATATATAATTTGATATTTGTGTCTATATTTCAGCTTATTTTTTCTCTTCTTCTTGTATATCCATAAAGGACAAGTGGTGTCATTCATTCTGTGTACTGAACAGCATGCACCATGTCAAAGATGTAGCACAGAAAGTAATGCAATATTCCCATCACAATTCATGTGGATTAGCTCCCTGTTTTTCAGTTGTCTATGAAAAAGTTTTGAATTCAAGACTTCTAGATAACCATACAGAGCCTTAACAAATACAAATATTATATTTCTTGTTTAGATTCAGATTGAGAGAAGTCTCATTCAGTGCTGGATCGAAAAGAAGGATACCAGATCGAATCAGTGTCACAGTTGAGCTTGAGATGATTAGCACATCCAGAAAACAGCTTACACATAATGAGATGGCAATACTGAGCATACAACAAGGGTATGGAAATAGTGAGTGAAGACTATTATTCATCGCAAATATTCTTGGTTTCCTTTTTATCAAGAAATAGTTAAGATGGTAGAGTTCTCAAGGTAAATTATATGTATTCTACCTGTATGATTGGAAATGTCTCTCTCTGGACAAACAACACAAGTATAGCAGCAGACATGTTTTCCTTCCTGTGGCATTTTCCTGAATCCTGGACCACACCTTTGGCTACACAAAGACTGAGGAGTCTGATGGGGAAAGAGAAGTGATGGTCATTGCTTTGCATGACATTAGGCACTGTGATAGGATGTCCCTAATTGCCTTTTCACTCCAAGGTCATCACTATGTCTTCCTCAGGCTGTATCTTATTGATTTTATTTAGACATCCAATTGGAGTTTCTAAGATGCTCATTCCAGGTTTGTCAACTGCCTACCAAATATTATGAGGCCACCTGATGGGTTTAATTTTGCTCATCACTGGATCTATGCTTCTGGGCATTTGTCTCTTTATTGAATTGCTTCCTCTGAAATCTTTTCAGTTTAGCTTTGTATGTGGTAATTCTTCTAGAATGTGTATGTCTGAGACTATTTTACACGCCTCTTTCTTTGATTGAGTAGAAGATTTTACATGCCAGAAAAATATTCAAAAAGCCTGATGACTAGATACACTTCTGATAGTAACTACTAAGAAAAAGACAAGCCCACAAAGAAAAGGTGAACAAATGTAATAATCCATTGATTGTGCATCTATCTACTTCTGGACTTCTATACCCAGGGAGGGCATCAATTCCTGATACTGCCAATGCATTTGTTATATAACACACAATAGTTATAAAAATTACCCGCAAAACTGTCTGGGGTATTTCAACAGCACAATGATGATAAAATTTTTGATCACAGCTGTGAGGTGGTATTCAGAAAAAAAAAAACTGAACTGATTAGCACCCACAATGACAAAGGAAAATCAGAAATTTTTCTACAAATGTTCAATTCATAATTTACTGTGTTTGTACTGCATCAAAACATAATAATGACTCACTAAATGATGAAAATATCACTATCTTTATAAATATACATGTAATACATGAAGTTTTTCACATTATATGAATACAAAGTTGAAATAAAATTTTAGAATTGTAGTGACATACATTTAGTAATTTTATGTCTAAGTATTGATCTCTATCTCTATTTCTTAACATTCTTTCTAGTCACTCAACCTAGGAATGCATTAACATGCCCAGAGAAAAACAACAATATCTAATCCAAACATGCACTTCTAATACACACTGGTTCATATATGTGTAAGGAACACCATATCTTTTGAAGCCAATATGTGAATTGAGAATTGAATGCTTATGTAAATTCTCACACATAATATCCTCCCATACTTTCATCAAGCCCTCTGTATGTATCCAATATTCCCATGGATCCACACCTCCTTGAATGCAACTGGCCATTCTATCATCTCTTCATTGAGGACCAAGTCTTCACCACGTGCACACTCAGGGGAAAACTCCCCGATTTTAATCAGCAAACGAAATCCAGCAGGAAAATTCACAATGTTGTGGATATCGTAGTGTGGCATATGGTGTCTCGTTTCATGGAAGGAAACATCCTCCCCAGCACTGTTGGTAAATTGGATTTTCCTCAGGAGTTGATGAAGCTGGAGGGGAGGCACAATTGGAAAGAGAGAGAACATTCAGATTAGAGGTGGAGGTGCACACGACTTAGAAATTCTTCTTTTTCCTCCTGTCTATCCTCAGGGTTTCTATTGGGCGGAGGCTGTTTTTTCTGACTGATCAAAATATCATGGGTTTGGGGCTGGCGCCATGGCTCACTTGGTTAATCCTCCGCCTGCAGTGTCAGCATCCAATATAGGCACTGGGTTCTAGTGCCAGTTGCTCCTCTTCCAGTCCAGCTCTCTGCTGTGGCCCGGGAAAGCAGTGGAGGAGGCCCAAGTGCTTGGGCTTCTGCATCCTCATGGGAGACCGGGAAGAATCACCTGGCTCTTGGCTTTGGATCTATGCAGTGCCGGCCATAGCGGCCATTTGGAGAGTGAACCAATGGAAGGAAGAGCTTTCTCTCTGTCTGTCTCCTCACTGTCTATAACTCTACCTGTGAAATACATTAAAAAAATCATGGGTTCAAGTGTGGGGAATTCTGCCTCCCCCCTATTAAAGTGATGGGGAGCATCTGATTCTAAACAGAGAAATCACAGGATGAGTCCCACAGGGTTGCTGACCATGAAAGATTGGTTATTGGTTTAGGAAAGCTCATCTTAGTTCTTCCACATGAGAATAGCATGACTTTTTTATAGCATGACTTTATATGCAAAATATCTTGATTATTGTGAGTGCACTTGTGTGCACTTTTAAAATTTTGACCCTGTCTCCCCACCAAAAAGTGAAATTCTCTCTTTAGCAAAAAAATAGATTCACATGGATACCATTATGCATAGTGAAATATACCAGTTCCTTAAATAGAATATATAAGTGTGTTTTGGTGATGGGTACTATATAATATAGAATAGAAGAAAAAAAACACAATATATAAAAATGAAACTGACATCTCAGGCTTTGATTTGTGTTTATCGCCCTTGTGTAAATTCCTTGGAGCAGTTATCTTTCTACTTTTCATTTGAGGAACATCATGATTAGTGAGGCATTAACTCTGTGATTTAAAGTAAATTGAAATTACGTTGTTGCAAAAATTAAAAGGAAAAAAGGAATGGAAGAAGGGGTGACTGAGAAGGGAAAGGAAGAAAGGATGGTTATCTTCTTAAAATTGTATCAATGAAATACATGAAATCTGTTCTTTTATATCAGTAAATTTTGTTTGAATTTAACAACATTTGGGCTGATCTTGTGGTGCAGCAGGTCAAGCCACTTTCCACAATTCCCAGCACCCCTGTGAGTGCCGATGGAAACCCCAACTGCTCTACTCCTGATTCAGCTTTCTGCTAATGTGCCTGGGAAAGCAGCACTTGAGGTTCCAAGTGCTTGGGCCCCTGCACTCATGTAGGAGAGCAACTGATGCTCCTGCATCCTGGCTTGACCTGGCCTAATCCTGGTACATGCAGCCATTGTGGAGTGAATCAGCAGATGCTAGATCTGTCTCCTCTTTTCTCTGCCTCTCTCTTTCTCATAGTAATTCTGATTTTGAAATGATTTTTTAAAAGTTTAAGAAAACTGAAAATAATATCAGTTGAATTAAATTCAATGAATTAGAAATCCAAGCATAATTTTTCTAAATAAACATTTTACCAAATCTGCTTGTACATCTCTGGCTGCCGCTGGTAGTTCTTAACTTACAAAAATGTGTATGCTGTGTATGTGTAGTTTATTTGTATAACATTTTTTACCTCAGTAGAGTTTATTGTTCCATGGCTTTTATTTCTCTCTTTGCACTTTGACTATTTTTTGTTGAGAATACAGCTACCTTTTGAGATTATAGGGAATATTTATAACCAAATAGATTTTTAGCTGCTGTGGATACATGATAGTCCATATTTCCTAGCTTTGCAATCCTTCCAAACAAAAGAGTAGTTTTAATCATTTCCTTCTTCCAAGTCTTTGTAATGAGCTTTATTAAGGTATTTTATAGCATTTCATCCTACAGTAAATAACATTATTCTTCTATGATCTGTCATTATTGAGTATGAATTGAAAATTTTACATGGAGCTAAATTGATTCCCAAGAAAAAGACAGTTCTTCAACAAGTAGTGTTGGGAAATTTGGATTTCCACATCTAGAGATATGAAATCAGACTGCTACCTTACACCCTATACAAATATCAATTTAAAATTTATCAAGGATTTAAGCTTTAAACCAAAACCATCAAATTACAAGAGGAAAACATTGGGGAAACACTGCAAGATATTTACCTAGGCAACAATTTCTTGGATAAAATCCAAGAAATAAAGGCAATAAAGGCAACAATATACATTAAGCTAAGTAACTTCTGCTCAGCAAAAGACACACTCATCCAAGTGAAGACACTACTTACAGAATGGGTGAAAATATTTGCAAAACATGGATCCAAGAAAGTATTAATGTCCAGATTGTATAAGGAGTTCAAAAAACTTAACAACGATATAACCAACAATCTAGTTAAGAAGTGAACTAAAGATATGAACAGGCATTTTTCAAAGGATGAAATAAAAATGGTCAAGAGAAACATGAAAAGATGCTCAGGACCAGTAACCATCAGGGAAGTGCCAATAAAAACTGAAGTGAGATTTCACTTGCCCCACTTTGAATGAATATTATCCAAAATTTGAAAAATAAATTCTGCTGAGGGTCTGGAAAAAATACCCCAATACATTTTATGGGAATGATTGTAAGCTGGTACAACCATAATGGAAGACAGGAGAGGAGTTTTTCAGAAAACCAATACTAGTTCTACCACATGGCCCAGTAGTCTCACACCTGAGAATGTATTCAAAGGAAATGACATCAACACATGAAAGAGTCGCCTGCACTCAGAATTCTATAGCAGCTCAATGTGCAATACCTTAGAAGTGCAACCATCTAGATGTCCATCAAGTGATGACTGGGTGAAGGAATTGTGATATATATTTGAATATTACTCAGACATGATTCAGAATGAAATCTTGACATTTAAAACTGGAGGTCATTACAGTAAATTATATAAGCCTGAACTACAAAAATATCATGTTTCTCTTATTTGTCCTAGTTAATATAGAGTATAAAATTCTGTGGTGTCAGATCATTGGCTATGTAATTTTAATATTGCTTCACTGGATCATATCTTGTTAATGACAATATGCTCCTCTTTCACATGTAAAAAAAGAAATTGAGTGGGGGGGGATACGGAGCTCATTTGGGTACTAGAAATACTATGTTGTATATTTGGGTGTTGGTTATCAGTGTGATCAGATGACCAAAACTATTTATCTGTAGACTTAAGTGCATTTCTAAGTATGTATACTGTTTTTAAATATTTTCAGCAAGTTCCATAGCAGGAACTGTTTTTTAAGTGTTCGATAGCAGATAAAAATTCCTCCACACACAGATAACAATTAAAGGTGTATCTATGCCTGGTGTGGTGTGAAAGAGCCCACTAATCATCATGCCAATCTCAGCATGAAAACATGGTCATGTGGTACTACAATAGAAATACCCGAGAATGCCATCAGAAGTGCAATGCATATCCTGTTTTGAGAGACGTTTACCTGCCATGGAAGAATCCTAGGTTGAGATGTGTCTCCTGGAGATCTCTTTTCCATTTGCTCTGAAAGCATCTTATGGAGGGCATGGGCCACTGCATACACAGCATTGTAGATGAAATAGCTGGAGTCAGATATGGTCAGCATGTCAATGCGTCCTGGGAAAAACTCAAAGGAAGCATTTGGTGGGCAGACTCCAATTGTTCCACAAAGTGGCCCAGGAGGTACGCAGTGAAAAGCATGAAGCCATAGTTGACTGAGGAAGAAATCTTCTGGGTAGTGGGAAGGGTCCACTGTCTTGACAAAATGGTTGAGGCCAGGGATTTCTTCCTTGTGTTGTGAAAATGAGAAGCCTCCATGAAAAGAGTGCAGCATGTGGTCTGTCTCCTTCACAACTATCTCCCACTTTGTAGCCATGATCCACACCTTCCCCAGGGTTAAATAGTATTTGCTTAGAAATTCCATGGTATAGAGGCCCATCACATCACCATATAGAATATGCACATTTGCTGATGAAATTCGGATCCCCTCTAGGAAAGAGATTTCAGTTTCTTCATACCTTGACTTAGTGTCAGGGAGCTTTACTGAATAGGCCAAGCAGACACCTTTCTTTACCATCTCAGCTTCAATATCCTGTAGGAACTGCTCTCCTTTCATGTCATTAGATACAAAGATCGCCACCCAAATCCAGCCAAAATGTAGCAGCAAGGAGAGCATTCCATAGGCCAGAGAGCTGTCACTAGTGGCCATCTGATAGAGTGATGGAAACTTGTCTCTCTCACTTAGCATGGGATCAAAAGGACCGTATGTGATCTGAATGGAAAGAAAACCATGATGATCTGAGGTTTGTGGGTAGAGAAGACCACGTTCTATCATCTGGGTTCAGAGAAATCCATGCTTCAATGCTTATTGCTTTCAGGATGAGAATGGATATCCTCATTCACAGCATGCAAAAATGTGTAAGATACCTGTAAATCTTCATATTCATTTGAGGGAAGAAGAGTGCATGGATTTTGGACCAGGACATTGGTCCTTCGCACTTCTCACCCCATGTCGTATGTGGAAAATTTCCCCCTGAAACTGGTGTTATATGTTACCTCTGAGACAATTTTTACTGTGTTGATTTCTTGATAGTTTGAATTTCATTAATTTTGCTAGCATAACCTAAATTGCCTTGAAGAATACACTCACCTTTGATCTCAGAGTTTTGTTAAAATTGCTTTTCACAAAGAATTTTTCTATACCGTTCCTGTCTGAGCTTGCTGGTGATGTGTGTAGATTGCTACTTGTTTGAAGTGGGTCTCCTTTAAAAGTCCTGGGAATGTGAATGCAGACCCTTGGTAGAAGATTAATTGGCTTATGTAACTGGGTTCCTGACACCTACTTGGGAGATTTGAATTGAGTCCCAGGCCCCTCCGTTTTCGAAGGACAATCAGCACCAGCACCATAGTCAGTATTTGGTTGTTAAACTAGTGAACGGGTGTACACTGTCTACCTACGTCTTTGTTTCTCCGTCAATGAAACACACACTAAGATTGAAATCTCTGAGTAGAACATGGAAAGTGAACTGGAGGCCCTGTGAAGGAATCTGCTGAATGTGAGGAAGGAAGGACTGAGCGTAGGGAGAGAGTGAAATATCTAAATCTAGCTCAGCCCAAACACTCTTTGATGATCTTTGGAACTGCCATTGTCCTAAGTGGGTTCCAAATGGACAGTACTGTCCTAGGTCTTTATATATGCATATCTAACATGCAGTCATCCTAGGATATCTCTTTGCTGTGTGTATTTTCTCTGAAAGTCAACAATCATACATTGGCCCTAGATGTGGATCTGGGCTGAGGCTCTCACCTTCCACTGCTCTTTCCCTTTCTCACAATCCAAGGAATTCCCCAAAGTCTGTTTCAACTAATACTGGATTATGTCACTTGGCTTCCACAGGACCTTGCCTTAGATGTCACAGGTCTGGTGGGAGATGGAAGCATTTCTCACAAGAATTCACAACCCGTTTACCTGTGGGGTTTTGTATAGCTCCAACATTGTCCCAATTTCAGCTGAAAATGCTGATGTGGTTCCAGCAATTATGGCAACCGTCTTGCCTTGTGTCTGGCAGGTGGAAACCCAGGGTCAGGTTGGGGAGGAGCTGGGGGTCCTTATTGATCTCCTGGATAGCAAAGCGGAAGGCCAGCACGTATTGGTAGTTCTTCCACAGCCACCTAAAGAGAGGAGCAACATCAGGGAGATGGGTGAGACCAAGGAATTCAGAACAACACCACAGCCATGCCGTGAAGCAGCAATGGTCACACTGAGTGGTGTCTCAGCTCTGGCAACTGGAGGAGATGTGAGTGAGGTTCCAAGGGCTCTAGGAAATTGTGGGATTCCCCTTTGGACTCCTCTGAAGAAAATTTTGTAATGATCACATTCACCTACTCGATCCCTTAAAAAAAAGCCTTGATGTGTCCCAACATGGGATTTCACTTCTACTTAGGGGTGGAACCCAAGAGGCAAACATCTCTATTTTCAGTACCTTCTGAAATAGTTGAATACCATCTGACTTATCAGTCATTTTATCATTTGGGAACATCTCTAATCTATTCACCAAAGCCATTTTCATGAGCCCTTTCTGTAATTTTCCTGTATCATAATTCACAGAAGCAATTTTGTTCAAATATATTTGCCTTGAAAAAGGGCATTTTTTTCAGAATGTGAAATTTCAGAATATTTACAATGTTCACCTTACTTTTATACACTGTTTTCCACATCACTGAATTCTATTTTATCATTTCATTTTTTTATTCTTTAACATTTTCTGCATGACTTATGCAGAATTATAATTTGTTGGTATTAGTAATGGCTCACAAATGTTACCTGAACAAGAGTGTAGATGTTTTGTTTTCACACAGTGGATAGCTTTTTGCCTCTTCTTTGAAATGTTTCCTTACTTCTATATTTCAAATGTAATTTGAGTGTCAATAAAATACATATTTGTCAATAGATTATGTGGGATTAAATCAATTTATGCGATTATCTGCTGTTTAGGTGCATGGATTCATGTGTTTGAATGTTGTAGTTGTTAGATTGTCATTTCAAGATGATTTACATTCATGCACTATGTCTACATATTTTGCAAATGGCAGTGTTTGATTTTAGGGCAAGTGCATTTTTCTCAAGTTTCACACAATTTTGTATTATTCTTACAGAATTTGAAACTTTGCTTTTTTACCTAAAAATAGTCAAATTTTGCTCCAATGAGTAAATGGTTGATTTCAAAAGCTTTTTATATCAGAAACAGTGTTTACTTATAATACACTAAGTATAACCATCAAAAAATATGCTACTGAAAACTGTTCCATACTTACTTTAACTTATCTGAATGAAAAATAAGAGCATTACATTTTGAAACATTTTGAAGTGTTTCTTACTTTTATCATTTTGCTTAATTGCAATTAATTCCCCTATAAGGTGATTTTTATTCACTCATAGCACTTGCTGTCAGCTGCAAGCTGATGAGTTTACTTCTTTCCCCATATAGAAGGCTGCCGGGTCTTAAGTCCCTGCACATTAATTTCAAGACTCTTGGAGGCTGATCAGGAGGTGAGATCAATAGAGTGAATACAAAATGTCTGTTTCTCACTCTCTGCAGTAGTGGAGAGCAAGCAGAAAATGGAAAGGGAAGGTTGTAAAAAGCAAAAGAAGGGAAGGAACTCAGCTTTCATTGATTCATTGATTTGCATTCCTGCCGCTTCTGTATATGATTTTTTTTCAAAATTCTTAAGTGCAATCAACCACTCACAGATAGAAGGAAACACTCTCTCACAGTCTGAACCACAGTTGACACATAAATCAATGTTGGACTTACCTGTATGTCTCCATTTTATCCATTGGCCTGGATAAAAAAGATAACCGGACCATGTCTGATTCTGGTTCCAGGAAGTAAAGGGGGAAAAACCCACCCAGTACCAGGACTCCATCTCTGTAGACACTTGGTCTCATGGAATTATAACAGTTCCTGGGAGGTATGTCCTGTGAACTGTATGAGGAATTCAGGAGTATGTTGAGAAAAATCACAGAAAACAACATGTCAAGTGAACCAAACATAAAGTTAAAGGCTGGAGTCTTTGCTGATATTAAGAGAAAATTTTGTTTTGATTATGTCTGTTGCCTCAACCCCTGTAGGGAGACCAGATTTTTATGTAGGGCACAACTGATGCTAGTATTTCTGTATGCCCTCAAGCTGTAGACAATATGTGCTAACTACTGAGTCACACAGGGACACAACCAGAATCACAAGGAAGAAATATCAAAAGAGTCTCAGGGCTGAGGCCTTGCCATAATGTCCCTTTGATAAGAAGAGCTCTGGCTTTTATATATTTTATTGCTTCATTTCTGTCCCATCCAGGAACTCATGGCATCACCCTGCCCTGAGGCTATGCACCTGCCACTCTCCATTATGGGGAAAAACAGCTTTGGAAAACATGCTTTGGACTCTCATTGCTCCCTAGGGCATTGCTGGGACAGAGCTCCATAAACCTGTGTGCACAGGGGCCAAGAGTTGTTAGGCCAGTCAACTGTTTTGAGGCATTTGGCAACTGTAGAAAGAATTAACATTGGAATTAAAAAAACACACTCAGTTTCATCATTCCACATGACCATTCATCAAGAAGGTGAAAGGTCACATTTGCCACTGATGACCATATGTACACCCCAAAAGTCTCTTCATGGCTCTGCCTAATATCTCTCAGCCCATAGTACTTAACAGAGAAACGGGCTTCATGAATTGCTAATAAGTCAACACACCCAGAGAAGGGCAGTAGGTCATCCCTGAACTTACCATTATACATCATCTTGTGTAAACTAATTGTGTTCATAGTGCATCAAAATACAGTAAAGGTTCATACTTCATCTCTTCTCACCCCCCTCTGTTTCTGGTTCTTCTTACGGAACGACACCTCCTTAAATGCAGTAGGCCATTCTATTATCTCTGCACTGATGACCAAGCTTTGGTCATGTGCACTCTTGCAGAGAAACTCCAGTTTTAGCCAACTACCCAAGACCCAGAGGAAAATCCACACACTCTGGATATCATGGTTTGCCACGAGGTGTCTTGATCATGGAAGGATATACCATCCCAAACACTGTTTGTAAATTGGATTTTCCTTGGAAGTGCTGAAGCTGTACGACAGTCATAACTGGAAACAGAGAGAGCACTCAATGAGATGTGGGGGATGCAAGTGTACTCAGCAGTCCTTATTTTCCCTCAATCTCCCTATCTTCAAGGTTTCTTTTTGGTAGAAGCTGAGTTTTTGTGTTTGTAGTTTGGTAGCCACTGTGACATGAGCTCAAATGATGAAAAACATTTGTCCATGCACCCTTACAACAAATTGGTGATTGATTTAACTCGATCAATAAATGTAGTTGCAAGAGTGGCAATGGTTGGATGCATCTTTATGGAAGCTAATTGTAGTTCTTCAATAACATAAGCAAAACATGGATGGATAGGTTACTGTGATTTTTGTGTAGGTTTTTTAAAAATTGTTTTTAAGTTGAATAAATGAAATTCAAGGTTAATTTTTGATTCAACAAATACAAGTCGATCCACAGATCATCAGAGTTCACAATTTCTGTTTAAAGACACCTTGTGTTATCTGGTAGGTCAAAACTTACAAAAATGTATACAGTTTATAAATGCAATTGTATGTATATTTACTTATATTATTTTACATCTCTACCCTTGGACTATTTAATGAGAGTGTGATTTTCTTTGATATTATGAGAATCTGGGTATGACCAAAAATAAAACTTCCAAATTTCTGACT